GTAGCTAGGAAAAAATGAGACAATCGTCTTGAAATACAAAGAATATATTAGCATTTTAAATTACTTCATAACCAAAGAACAGTTGAAACAAAATAATTGCAGAAATAAATTAAGGCAACTATTTTAATAATAGAAGATGAAATGATCAATTAATTTTAGAAAGGTATAAATAATCGGATAAATTTTAATCAACAAAAAAACTTACAATTTCGACATTTGCATTTTTTGATGAGCGATATATCCATAATATCTTCGTGGCATTGCTTACACCAATAAAATGCTCTATAATTTCGCTTCATTTTTATCTATTCATTTTGATTTAAAACAACAAGTAGAAAAAGAACTAAATTCATTTAAGAATTTAGATTTTGAAAAAAAAGAAATGAAATTTCTCAGTTAGCAATTATTTATCATACCGCTTGACTTCATCAGCTGATTGAGCTATAAAGAAGCCTTGTGTTTGCGGTTGAATTGTTGTTGTTGGAGCTGGATTAATTGCAATATTGCATTCTTTCTTCTCATCATCTTTCATTTCGATTGCTAACAATAGTAGGCCCAAACGAGTGAAAAGCAAACTGAAAAAAATAAACAAAAGAAACAATAAGGAATATTTCATTTATGATTCATAGATTTTTACTAAGCAAATTGATTATTGGCTTCTTTTTGTTTTCTGTAAATTAAACCACACAGCAAAACATTCACAGCAAAACATTCACAAATTGTTCACAAAAAATAAAAATACTGTAATTCATTTTTTTTTTTAAATATTTTCTCTTATCTATCCCAAAATTATAATCGTAGAAATTTCGGGAACTTGTAATAAATTCTTCTTGTAAAACTTTGTCAAACAATGATATTAGTCGATTAGATCGTACATCAAAAATTCCTAGACGAAAAAGGTAAGAAAAAGAAAAATTGTTGAATCGTTTGATTTTAAATAGCTTCTTTATCCGATTCCGATATGATATTGATTTATCATTGGTGAAAGAAGTTATCGCCCTCTAATGAAAAACGCATGATTATTACAAATTTAGTCATACATTTGGAATTGTGCAAAATATAAATAATTTGTGTAAGCAAAGACGAAAGGGTAAAAATTCTATTGTATTGTTGTAATTAATATATAAATTTTTTTTTAATGAGAATTTTATAAATTATTTAGAGATTTAGTAATGTGTTAATATCATCTAATGGATTCATTTATGTTAATTTCAATTTCATTCATCCTTCTAATTTTAGATTCAACGGATAAGTTTCTTTTTAGATAATTGTGGAAGGAATAATTTTCCGCTCAAATAAATGCAAAAATCATTTTCTTCGTTGTAACAGTATTGCTTGTTATTAATCGAATAACCACTGTATACTGTTAGTTTAGAAATTAAAACATGATCAAGCCGGCAAAATTATTAGCTTAAACGCATTCTTTGTGCTTACTCAGCTGCATCCGGAAACGTCATCCCTACGAAACCGTGTGATAATGTATCTGTATACATTTCCATGCCTGCACCACACAGGTACAAATTTAACCAGTCCGGAGTATTGCGGGACTGAAATTTATCAATCAATGGGTTCTCATACATCAGGAGAAAATATTTCTCGTTACTGTAAAAATCGGAATTTTTGAGTGGAAATTTGAATTTGATAATCTGCCTTATCGAAAGCAAATTAATGTTTCTTAAAGTAGAAACCTCACAATTTCACATTTCAATCTTTTTAAGACGAATAAGAAACAAAACTACGCATAGTGAACAAATATCGCGTAAAACACATACATATATGGACGAAAATAAGTTGTTGCACAATACATGGATAAACTTTTAAAACACAGTTACACGACAAAATATTGTTAAACATATTATCACGCTTACTATCACATTTGCTTTTTATACATCACCCAACATATAAATCATTTTTGATTTTTAATATGTAAAAGTTTTACTAACAAATAATTTTAACTTTTAATAACAGAGTAAGACTTAAACAACGGAAAGTTAAAAGAAAAACAAACTCGGCAGCCTCCGTGAAAGTCATACCAACACATGAATAGGACAATGACTCGGTGTACATTTCCATACCAGCACCACGTAAGTAATCATTCAGCCATGGTGGAGTATGTGGTGACTGAAATTATTTCAATTCATGTTAAAATTTTACTGGAAAAGCGGCGATAAATTATTAAAGTAGCTGCATAAGTGATGGATTAAAATTCTGAGATAATGGAAACACCTACATGCTGAAACTGAATGAAAATTCAGTTCAAACGAATGTTAGGAAATCATTTGCTAAATACATACATGCAAGAAAGGACAAATGTTAATAACATCAAGAAATTCAAAATTGGTAACTTCAATATGTGAAGGTGAAATTTTTTAAAGTTTTCAAGCGCTACATTCCGAAATTTTAAATGACAACTAGTTGAAACAACGAAAAAAACATAGTAAGGAAAGCAATTTTAAATTGGACATAAAAGTTGATTATAACGTGTTAAGTGTTAAAATCTGAGTGACCAATTATTCCAGCAAAACTTCAAGCAAGTCAAAACAATACTGTTGTGAAGACGACAACAAAGATCAGAAGCCCGAAAGCTTCTGAATCAAATAGAACGATTTCGAATGGATTCGTGGTTCAATCCGACCACACATAAATGCTACACCACTAAAAGATAAAAGTTGGACAAAGTTTTTAGCTCTTTCTTTTCTTTTTGAATCACCAACAAAGTGAACCGTTTTGAAAGAACGCATCGCAAATAAATTAGCCATCATCGTTGAAAAGCCAGGTGCAAGACATGACTGAGCAATAAATCCAAGCTTTAGTTCGGCTAAACAAATAACATCATCACCACGACGCCAATCCCATGAAGGGATGTTTAATAAATAAGCCTAAAATAAAACTTATAAATCTTTTCAATCAGCTAAGGTTAAACCATTGGATGGATTAAATAAATGGATGAAACAGTTCAATCGAGCAGATTCTAATTAGTAATTCAAGATTGTTAAAGAATTAGACAGAACAAAAGAGCCGAAAAAGAAGTAGTAATGAGTAAATAGTAAAACCTTATTATGATATTGCATCAATTGTACAATAACGCGTATATCGGAGCTATAATTTTTAATGGAAATAACACGCATAATATTTGCAGCATCTTCTGCATCTGGATCACTGCTGTATTTGTTAGCAAGCACTAAGCATGCATCTGCTTCATCAACCTGAATAGGAATGATTGATTTGGGTATTTTCTGAGTGATATTTTTTGATTTCCAAAACATTTTCATATGTTGAAATATATGAAAAATTGAAACGAACTTACTTTCACACGAGAAAGATCGATGGAATCCATAACCGTTCCACTGAAAAATTCAACCTTCGTAAAATGTCGTTTGAAAAGACCTTCCAATTCAAGATCCGGTGGTACTCTATAAAAACATCTTATTTAATATATAATAAAAGCTTGCTGTTAAAGACAATTTGTTGACTTACAAAAGGCATTATAAAAACAGTTAAAAATAAAAAACGTTTTACAAAAGTCGAAACCTGTGCAAGAATACCACTTCAACGTCAACATCTTCTCGATCTTCGTGAAGGAAATCTTGCAGAAAATGACTAACTGATTCATAAGTTATATAACCACAAACCACAATATGTCTGCAAATATATTAATTTCTTTCTCTTTAATTTTTTCTTTTCTGTAAACTTATTTAAAACTACGTAAAACTGCGAATTAACACAAGAATGTAAACAACTTTTTTTTAGCAAACATTCTAGCATTTATTTACTATACGTTGGCATAAACAACTATTTTAAATATCCAAATTTCGTTCATAATTTTGAAATAGCAAACAGGCATGTTAACAAGCATTGTATCTGACTTTTTGCCGTGCTCGCCTTTATATTCACCTCCGTATTTTTGCCTTGATCCAATTAAATCCGCTATTTCCGGTATATAACTAGCAAACATTGCCTGCAACATAAAAAAATATATGAACACTAATAAGATGTTAACACTTGTTAAACTATTCCGATTTTTCTCGTGAAAACTTCAAGCATGAAACATACCAATCCACCAAGAATGAAGAATACCATGAACAGTCTTCCCAAAAATGTTGTACAGTAGATATCACCGTAACCAACTGAAACAGTTAATCATATATCATACCATATCATTTTCAACACATACACAAGTTCATGCTATCTTTCATCTTAATCTAATAATTTTATTTCACGTAAATCAACTACTAAAGATTCACATTCATATTTGATTGATCAATAGAATGTCATTGATGGTTAGAATTCTGAATCTCTTTTTAAAAGAACAACTGTACGGTCTTGTTCAGTCGAATCTCTCTGATGACGTGATATCATCAACATAACACCTTACATGTTGAACAATCTTGAATAATTTTCAACTAACTGATTCCGTTTTAAACTTTCTATTCACAAAGTTACCTTAAATGTTAATTCATATATCAATTTAAAACAAGATGAAAGAGATTGTGCATAATTAGTAATATCCTTTTCGTTGAACAATTTAATGATATAACATTAAATGCATAATCATCTTATTTATTGTTAAATCAAATGTCACTTTTTGAAATCAATTTTATTTTTATCCTATTTATCTGCAAAAATATTCAAATTAATAGTTGAAAGTTTAAATGATTGAAAAAACAAACCAGTGGACATTGTAACCAGCAAGAAATAAACACAATCCCAATAAGTTATTCGATGTGTATTAGCAAAATTTTTGAACGGATCACCACTATTTTCAAGCTGAAATATATATATATATATATATATATATATATAAACAACATTCGATTTAACATATACAGATATATATGAAGATAGTGCAATAGATCAGAATTATCAATACTGAAAAAGAGTGAACAGAAATTAAGCATCAAAAAATGCACTCCTAAATTAATAAATAATTTACTTACAACATGAACAAATCCAGCTCCTGTTAAACAAACAGATATAAAGATTGAAAGAAGTTGAGTGAGACGTATTGATGATGATGTTTTCAGCACATTTAAGTATTGCAAAATATCTGGCACGGTCATTAATCGTAATGCACGTAAGAAACGTAAGCCTGAAATGTATTTTTTTTTTATGATTAAAATGGAAATAAAAAGATCAATATTTTATAAAATAATCCTATTTCTTTCTAAACTATAAATTAATTTGATTTACAACAAATTTCAACAATTATTTATTTATTATTTATATGGAAAATAATTACCTAGCCAATTTCTTTCCAAATATATGGCAACAAAGCTTGGTGGTATTGTGAAATAATCGATAAAACTGTAAACTTCTAATAAAAACCATACTTTGTCGGAAGCAGCAATAAACTGTAAAAAAAAGAACACCGATATTACTGAACATAAAAATGATGTATGTTTATGTAAATCTGTAAATAAACATTTGTGTTATATATCATTAATTTACTTAATTCTATATTACTACTAAAATAATATATTATTCTGATTCAAATTATGCAATCTATATTACTGCTACAATAATATATTACTCTGATTCAAATTATGCAACAATGCAAAATTTCAATCAGATAAAAAAGTAGAATAAATGATAAGCTTTAAAGAAAAGAAACAAACTCTTATAAAGAAATAAATAAGGAAGAAAATATTGAAGCCGAGATCAATTTGTTGTGATGGACTATCAGACCATGATACACATGTTTCCACTTGAAAATTTGGGCTGAAATTTTGGAACATTAAGAAAAATTTATTAAGACCTAAATAATAATAATAATAACAATAATAATAATAATAATACCTAAATTATCATTTCTATATAACGAAAAAGATAAACACAACAAAATTTTTCATCATAACCATCATCTATTCACAATGAATAATAATAAATTATAAAATATCTTATATTAATCCAAACTTCTACACTTATTTTTCATATGATTTACATAGAGAGAAATCTAATGTGATATAAAATGAGTATTTAATTAAAAGAAGGTAAAAAATTATGTTTTAAAAAAATGCGGAATTTTTTGATCCACCAATGAAAATTATAAAATCAATCAGTTAAATGCATATATTTAAAGTTAATATTGATAAGTACGATTTCATTTAATAGTTGTAAAAGTGGAAAGATAAAAGAATCAATTAATAAATGCTACTATAAAGTATTTGATGACAAAATATATGATTTGAATTTCATTAGCTAAAAATTAGAATTCATTAATATTTTGTACATAACTAACTAATTATATTGTAATAGCAAAAAGAAAAAGTATGCATTAGTATAAGCTATCTTATAATTTTCCATTCATTCTATAACTATCATTATGATATTTTCCTATCTTAACTAATATATTATCAGAAATAAAGTTGAAATTTTAAAAATGTCGAAATTAAAATTTGGCGATAAATAATTTATCTTATAGTTTAACTCATTATAATATTTTATAGTTTAACTATAAGATAAGATAAATTATTTATCTTATAGTTAATCATCTTTTCTTTTTCCTTTTCTCTCATTTAATTTCCTATAATTTGAATAATTTTACAGAATCATTTTTCACAAAAAAAAAAAAAAATATTACAATTTAATTAAGCTTTCGATTTTTCGTTTTTTGTTTTTTCTTCTAATATAATTTTTGCATTGAATTTTATAAATTCATTTTGTTGACAACCATTTTCCATCATTTTGTTGACAACCATTTTCTATTATCGTTGAAATTGAATTTATTTATGCAAGGAAAAAAAAAAGGAATAGAAATTAAAAATTTAAAATTTATACGAAATTATTTCATTCAATTTTTAGCATAAATAAAATTATCAAATTTTAATTCAAACAATTTTTCCACAAATTTTCTCTTTCAAATAAATGAGAGTAAAGAAAAAAACTTACAAACTATTTCAACAATTTCTTTTCATTCTTTTCCTCTCGTTTAAAATGCTTTTTATTTATTTTTTTTTTTTTTTTAGAAAAAGAACACGAGAAAAACTTTTAATTGCCATTTGTTCCATTTGAATTATTAAATCAAAAATTTTCTTTCCAACCATTTTGTTAAGAAAATAATTAAATTGCTCAAAAAAGATTTCGATATCTGTAAGTATAATTTTCTTCTCTGTTTTTTTAAATGTTATTTGGTTCTCATTTGTCAAAACTTCAACAAAATATTATGAGGACACGGCTAAAATTTTAGGGAATACTATATTACGGCGATTGGCATCATCAATGAGTATACCATGGCAAATTCCATATCAGGATGGTTG